TGAGTTGTCTTCGATGGCATTGTGGGATTTGGTGTGAGGTGGGTGTTGTTCGTCTGGGTGACCAACGTGCAGCGATTCGAGGCATACAGACACATACACACACACACACACACACACACACACACACGCACGCACACACACACACACACACACACACACACACACACACACACACACACACACACACACACACTATACATACACATATATATATATATATATATATATATATATATATATATATATATATATATACACACATATATACATATACATATACATACTAACCCACACATTCATTCATTCATCTATACCGCCTATTCAAGGAGATAATAAACCTAATAAACATCAACAAATATAGCAAAAATACCAGATAAAGACGTCCCTATACCCAGAAAATGAATGAAGCCGAGCGTGTCCACCGAGTTCCTGTCGGGCCGAAGATAAAGCGCCGTCGGAGGCACAGAAGGAGGCCGGACAGCAAGAGGGGGTCGAGGCAGGCACGGACAAATTGCTGTGGAGATAGACGAATGACCGAGGGAGAGGAGGGAGTGGGGAAAGAGAGAGAGAGGGAGAGAGACAGGGAAAGAGTGGGGAGAGAGAGAGAAAAAAATAAGAAGAAGAAGAGGAGGGAGGAAGGAGGGTGGAGGAAGGAAGGAGAGAGAGAGAGAGAGAGAGAGAGAGAGAGAGAGAGAGAGAGAGAGAGAGAGAGAGAGAGAGAGAAGAGAGATAGACAGAGAGAAAAAAAGAGGAAGAAGAGAAGAGAGAGAGAGCGAAACACAGACAGAGAGAAAGAGAGAGAGAGAGAGAGAGAGAGCGAGACACAGACAGACAGACAGAGAGAAAGAGAGAGAGAGAGGGAGAGGGAGATAGGTCACCCAGTGGGCGAGAAATGGGCGAGGCTGCATCTCCAGCTCTCAAGGTCACGAAGCCACACCAGCGCCATCTACCGACCGCGATGGGAATCAATTAAGGCGAATATACCGCCACTAGGGACACCAACATAATACCTGTCATTTATTGATTACATGACAATCCATCAAAAGAAAAAAAACATTTGATTTTACCAATCCTTATATTTGATACTTATCGTACCCTCCACATCACATTTTGCGAAGGTTATTTGTTTATGTAACTACAGTACTAAGAAGAGGAAAGGAAAAAAAAACAAAAAGAAAAAACAGGATGTGTTGAGCAAATACAATGGAGACGGGAACATCGCCTCTCCAATGTGGGGACAAAAAAAAAAAAAAAAAAAAAAAAAAAAAAAAAAAAAAAAACGGTCATAGCAAGAACACGGGAGTTTTATGTGAAGAAGCAATCTTGGAAACTTGAAATATAAACCCAGTTAATTTGAATCTCTGACTCTAAACCTATCAGCAAGAATCTATAAAAAAGATGTTAATGTTCTTGCGAAGATGCAGAAATAGAAAAGATGTCACTCGTTGAATCTTAAAACAGTTTTTTTTTTGAAGTAATTTATTTAGTAGCGAAAGACGACTCCGCAAATTGCTTTTATCGCTAAGAGAGAGAGAAAAAAAAGTGTTTCTGTGTGTGTGTGTGTGTGAGGGGGGGGGGAGATAGAGAGAGAGAGGGGGGAGGAGGGAGAGAATGAGAGAGAGAGGGGAGGGAGGGAGAGAATGAAAGAGAGAAAGAGGGGGAAGGGGGAGGAAAGAGAGAGAGAGAGAAAGAAAAGAGAAAAGAGAGAGAGGAGAAAGAATGTTCAAGAGTACGTGCGTGTGTGTTCATACCTGCCAATTTTTACCAAGTCATGTTCTTAATAAGTTGCTCTTGTCTAGTTTTTCTTTACTTGTTCTTTGTTTTTATCTAGTTGTTCCTCCGTCTGTTCCTGTATAGGTGTTCTTGACTGGTTGTTCTCACCTACTTATTCTTATGTAGTTCCCCTTACCTGGTTGTTCTTATCTAAGCCTTTTTAACTTAGTTATTCTTACCTATCTTTTTGTTCTTCCTAAGTTATTAACTTATTGTCGTTACCTTTGTTCTTAACTGGTTGTTCTTACCTACTTTCCCTCACTTAGTTGTTTTTTCCCGGTTTGCACTTACCTACTTGTCTATAACGAGTTGTTCTTACCACGTTGTTATTACCAACTTGTACTTACCTACTAGTCCATACCTCGTTGTTATTACCTGGTTGTACTTACCTACTTGTAATCAGCTGATTATCATTACCTACTTGTACTTCCCTACTTGTTCTTACCTTGTTGCTGTTACCTCGTTACTCTAGTACAGGAGAGAGAGTTAAGCTTGAACGTTCCTATCTGCATGTACGTAAGTGTGCGTGTGTTCAAATGCATTATAATTTGGTAGAAAAAGACACAATGGACAAGATATATTTATTGAAATGAATGAGACAACGGTTTCGAAATCTTCCTTGGATCTCTGAAGATGGAATCCAGGAGGATTTTTGAAACTGTTTTCTCATTCATTTCAATAAATCTGGTTTGTGGATTGTGGTTTTTTATCTGGAATTGTATCAATAATTGTATCAGTATTTTTCCATTCATCGTAAATTGGTTCAGATTGGAATTATACGGGAGAAAGGACCAGGAGAAATAAAAGTAAAAGAAGAGAGAGAAAAAAGACAGACGAAAAGAGGAACAATAGCAAAAAAAAAAGAAAAAAGAAAAAAAAAGAAAAAAGAAAATAAGAAAAAAGAAAGGCAAACATAAAAAAACTGAGGAAAAAAGAAGAAAGAGAAGAAGAAGGAAGAAGAGATAGGACGATAGGCGAGAAAGGGCGTGGTGACCGCACCTTTAACCCCCCCATTCACCCCCCTCCCCCCTTCTTCCCTCCTTCCCTCCTTACCGTGGCGGTCAAGGTCAGGGGCGGGAGCCTAGGGGGGGAGAGGGGGGGCGTGGTCAGTGAGGTGGGATGATGTAAAAGACGGGCGAGAAACGGGAGGAAAAGGGAGAGGGGAGAGTACGGAGAAGGAGAAGAAGGAGGAGGAGGAGGGAGTTAAAGAAAATGAAAAGAAGGAGGGAGGTAAAGAAAAGGAGGAGGAGGAAAAAAAGAAAGAGCAGGAGAAGGAAGACAACAACGACGACGAGAAGAGGACAAGGAAGACGATAACGAAAAAAAAGAGCAACTTGAGCCGGGAGGGGGGGGGGGGGGAAGAACTACCCCGACCTTGAGAAGAGGGAACTTGAGTACGGTGTAAGGAAGAGGGGGGAGGGAAGAGGAGAGAGAGGGGATAGAGGCAGGGGAGAGGAGAGAGAGGGATAAGGGGAGAGGAGGGGAGGAAAAGAGGAGAAAGAGGGAGAGGAGAGAGGGGGAAGAGGAAAGAGGGGATAGGAGGGGAAGAGGAGTGCGAGAAGGATAAGGAGAGGGGAAGGAGGGAGGGAGGGAGGGGGGGCGAGGGCGTAGACAAAGTAAAATGACGGGCGTGAGAATCTCATCCTATACTGACAAGAAACACACTCCCTCTCGATATATAAGTATACCTCAGTATACTCAGAACCTTACGTTCCTATCCACGCATAAAATTCTTCGTCAATAAGAAACAGCTGATTAGATAATGATTCTTTCTCAATGATAAAAAAAATCCTCATAATATTCACAATCATTTAGGATAATATTAAGCAAAGGGACTTCAGACGACGAAACAATTAAACCATTAAGGAATTCAGTTATTGTTTTTATATTAGGTACTAATATCAAGCAAATATTAAACCCGGGTTACATTATCTGCTTAATAGCGTACATCATATTAATTACATGCTGTTCATAGTTGAGTTAATGAACATCCATTCCTTGCATTATCCCTAAAAGATAATAAAAAATGAATAAAGGAACGAAGGAGATGGTAAGAAAATATACCAATAAAAAGAAAATATTTTAGCAATCACCAAAAAAAATTACTAAATATCGAACATATTTTCTGAGAGTTGAATATTCTACAAATCAATAATTGGTGTAATAAACAGTAATAAAAATCATAATGGTACACTTACTGAGTCCTCCTTTAAATTAGAGGAATGATAAAATCAAACTTTATAATTCAGTCTGGTTGAGTTTCGGGATTTAAAAAAAAAGTTAGAGGTGAACAAAGTAAGCGTATTTCTTTTTCTTTTTTCTTTTTTTTCGTTGACTATATAATGGTCAAATGCGTAAGTATTTAATTTGGCAGATTACTCATTTCTTCTATATTTGGCGAACGCATATTAATGAAGGTTTAAACTTATATTTCAATTTGCTGAAAAGATAATATAAACTTGAATGTTGTTGTTTTTTTTCTAGCCATATAGGGCACAGGTAAATCGTATTATAAGAGGATAGGTTCGTTACCCTTTTAAGAAAGACATATTGAAGCTAATTCATTTCTGCTATTTTTTGTAAATCTGTAAATAGAATTTGATCATTTACTAACATCGAGTAGTAAATAATAATAATAATGATAATAATAATAATAATAATAATAATAATAATAATAATAATAATAATAATAATATAATATAATAATAATAAAATAATATAATAATATAATAATAATATAATAACAAATATTATAAAAATTCATCCTCTCCTTTCGCTCTACCCATTTTTTTTCAATCATCAAACTACATTCATTTCATAGCTTTCATATGAACCATATAAGTATTTCCGTAAAACCAATCATTATTTTTTTTTACTTAACGAAATACAAATATGATCGTGTAGCAATTACCAAGATGCGCGCCCGTCACAAAACCCAGTTTCAATTTACATGAAGACAAGGTAGAAAATTTGCATACATATAAAATTGCCTTTTATTACTTCTTGCTTAGTCTTGTGATCAGCAGTACACGTGCATTAGAGGAGTTTCTAAACATTCATACATTTATTGTGTATATAAACGTAGATAACATCTTAATGTTAGCAACAGCTCTTTAACAGATACTCCACCATGTTCTCAATTCACTCAACTAGTGCACACTGCGCAGTTGTTGCAGAGCTCACTCTAATTCCCTTGCCGTCTCCCTAACCCGCCCTGTCTCCCTCAGGTGTGCGTCCTGATGGCGGGCACGGAGCCCCGAGCGGTGCCGCTCCGGAATCACGGCGGGGTCATCTTCGGCAGCGACTTCCTGCGCATCCTTGACCCCCGACATCAGTCTGGAGACGCGACGGGTGCCGCAGAGGCTGTCGCCGCGGGGGCGACCGATGCGGCGGCGCAGTCAGTCCAGCTGCAGCGGCCGCCTCCCTCGGGCAGACAGCTGCACGACGAGCCAGCGCAACGACGACCGCCGAGCCCGTTTGCCGCGCCAAGCGTGACGGGGTCGTCGCCGCTCACAAATCGGACGCAAAGTCCAGACAAAGACCGCGTTGCCACACGTTTAAGCAACGATAATGACCACGTTTCATCTTCTCCTTCTACTATTTTAGCGTCGTCTACGCCCTCACGGAGAGCCAACGCTCTGCGGAGAAAGCAATCTTCCAGCAGGACGGCGCAGACGCGGCCCTCAACTTCGCACCACAAGTTCGGCAGGAAGTTTGCGTCGGGCGCGTCCCTCAATCACCACAGATCGACCACGACGACGGCGAAGACGTCCTCTATCTCCACGCCCTTGCCCGAAACCAGGAGGGCTGGCGCGTGCGCTACCGTCAGTCCAGCCGCTGGGAAAGTGTTTCTGGATTCTCCCGTGTCTGCCAGTCCCGCTGAATCACAGGCAGGTACTACCGAGGGAAGTTTTAGTATACCGTTTGATGATTACGACTACTACTACTACTATTATGCTGATGACATCGACTCTCTGCTGAGTGGTGACCCAGCCGTCGATGCAGCCACGACTGAGAAGACCAAGAGAACAACGCAGCCAGCAGCCAGGCGATCCACCACAGGGACGTCCACGGCCAGCATATTCTCAAAAATCACCACCGCAGCGCCTGTAACGCCTTCTCCACGTCCTTCGCGCACGACACGGACGACGAAAGCGACAGCTCGAACGCCGTCCACGGTGGACTCCACAACGCCAGCAACAGTCCCAGACTCAGTGACATCAAGGACTCTCAGATATCGCACTACATCAAAGGCGAAAGCCAATGCTACGAGAAACCTGGCTGCAACGACGCCATCTTCAAGGGCGACAGAACCTACAGCAAAATCAACCACAACGACGACATCCACAGTCACAGAACGGAGAACCACAACAATCAAACCTACACCAGAGAGAGACGATTTCAGTGTAACAGAGAGAAGCTTTACAGTATCTTCCGAAAGAGTGACCGCAGGTCGGCGCACTGTGCCTGCGACAACAGAGAAACTCACTTCCACCGTCACTGCTTCCTCGCCGGCCCCTGCTCCCTCGTCCACCACCAGCAAGCCATCTTCGACTACAAAACCAGATTCTGCTGCTGAGACATCCACCAGAAGCGAGTCGTCCTTCAGCAAGGCACCGTCGAGATCTGGGTCACTCTCCAGCAGCAGGTCGTCCTCCAGATCACTATCACAGTCCGTTCTGAAAACGTCGAGAGTTTCGTCGGCTACATCTACAACCACGCAGTCACATCTCGAGAGAAAGAATAAGCTTCCCACATCCAGGACGAGCAACACGTCACAATTCCGGTACACCACCTCAAGGCCTCAAGTTACAGAGAAAGCATTGAGAGTTATTACAGAGAGCTCAGTTACAGAGAGCTCAGTTACAGAGGAAACCCAGAGTGAAAGATCGAAGGTCACTGAAGGACCACAAAGACCACAGAGTTCTCCTCAAGAGGACACCAAACGAACCACCAGGTTGCAGGTACCAGTAATACCAAAAGAAACGACAGAAAGCACCGTTGCAGAGGAAAGCGATAAGGCTGTCATAATCAAGGCATCCGAATCCCCAGAGGAAACTTCAGAGGCTTCATCTCCGAAGAAAACGAGCGAGGCCACGAGAACCCAGCCAACCCAGCCACCAAAGGATGATACAAAAGCCTCGGTCCCGGAAGACGGTGGACAGTCAACCAGGCTCGGGATTGCCTCGTCCTCCTCGGTTGTGGTTGAGGTCCGAGTGGAATCTCCCCCTCGACCTGAACCTCGAAGGATGCCGACGTCTGTCAATCAGTCCTCCATTCAGGCCCTTGATCGCGGCAGAGACAATAAGGATAAAGACCCATCACCGCCCTCCCCACCCCTGGCAGAAGCGGAAGAAAGTCCAGCTACTTCTTCCCCTACGAATTCCACCGCGGAAGAAAATTCCAACGCGTCAGCAGCAACGACCTCTTCTTCACTACGGACAGTTCACACTATCAATCCCGAACGCCACACAACCAGCTTCCTTCTTAGCGAGCCTCTGGTGGTGGACATCGTCACAGAGCCAAAGATGAGCGATCGAAGTCCCAGTGAGAAGTCAGACGCAACGCAAAGCCCTCCTTCAGCGAAATCTACCCAAAATTCCTCTTCCAGTAACACCACTGAAGTTCCTGAGGCCGGTGAAGACCAAGCAAAGCCTCAGGGTAAGACTCCAGCAGAGGAGAATAAGTCGAAAGCAGTAGAAACACAAGAGAATGCAAAGGAGGCGGAGAACCAAACAACAAATGCAGACACGCCTACAGAAGAGCAATCCCTGAATCAAACACAGAGTCAAAGCGTGAGCACCTCGGTCTCCAGGACAGAGTTGAGGACTGCTGAGATCTCTACCAGTGTAGCTGGATCTGGAAGCACGTCCACCGATCCCGTTGAACCAGCAGCAGCAACTTCTAACACAACAGAACCACCTACAGTTTCTACCACGACTCCCTCAGGTGTGAATTCCACCACACTCCCTTCGTCTAAACCCAAGATTGGCGCCCCTTCAGGCAGACTTATAGTTGGTTCCCCTCGCGCCCAGCAAGGACTAGCACCACAAGGTCTCGCACCATTTGGCCAGGCCCCAGGGGGGTTGGCACCATTCGGCAACGCTCCCCATGGCTTGGCCCCAAAGGGACTCATTCCAACTGGGTTGCACCCTCACGGTCTAGCCCCACACGGACTCTCAAAGCTTGGAGACAGTAACAGTACCGGGACTAACAGCACGGGCTTGACATTTGTAGATGCGAATGTGGGAGGTGGAGCAGATGCCAATAACACCGTGGGCTACGTCGTGGAGGAACACAACAGAAGTCGCTTCCGTCTTGAGGAGAAAACGCAAGACGGTTTCATCATCGGCGAATACGGGGTGGTCGACCACGCGACCGGCGACGTCAACGGCGTTCGGTACACTGCCGACAGTAGCGCCGACCCTCACCTAATATACGAAACGCTCATGAAGTTCCTCGAACTGTAGGGAAGCTGGTGCATGGCAGTCAGTAATGCTGCGAAGAGTTTCTGCTGCTGTTGTGATATGTCCTCTTGCTAGACAGTTTTCCAGGATGATGGACAGAGCCATTGAAAATATTTTATTTTATAGTACCGTCTTTCCTTTAGGGTAATTATATTCTCTCTTCATACACGAACATAGTGAATCAACTGTTGAATCTCACACATGAAAGGTATAGCTCAAGTAATTTAACTTTATTCACATGGTCATATAGGGCAAATTTAATTTATTTCTGTAGGAAGCAGAAACGTAAAGATCATTTTGGTATCAAAATTGCATTAAGAAAGTTACTTGTGCTCTACCCTTATAATGGCTCTACCCGTCACCCCTGAAACTACAAAGCATTGCTCGTCTAGCATCGTTCGTCGCTATTTATTTGAAAGGCATATTTATCTGGTGAAAAAAATAACAAAATACTGCATTTGTATATCAAACACAATTCAACTGCATACAACTGTCATTAACATAAAGAGACTAAAAGTGAAATTGAATCTGTGAAGTAAACTTAAGTTAACAGAGGTCTTTTATAGTGTCAGAATGATGCATGGGAGGCAAGCGACCTTCTTATCTGTGATTTATATTTGTGATGCTCAGCCTTACTGTAGAAGACATAGATTTCCGGACTCCACTCGCACCATGACAGGGCATTACCTACCTGAGTGAGATGTGCATGTCTGGAGCACGGGATTATTGCTAAGGAATCCGCCATGGGACATTAAGACATGGAGACTTCTAACACTAAGGAGGATATAAAACTACATGTGCACACACACACACAACACACACACACACACACACACACACACACACACACACACACACACACACACACACACACACACACACACACACACACACACACACACACACACACACACACACACACACACACTGGTATACATTCCTTGGCAATTTTCCTTTCCATTAACATTTTATATTCAGTATTCATATCAAATCCTTCACTGACCCAAATCACGGAGATTTGGGTGACCTTCACACAACACAGAATGAACACCATTAACAAAGCTTCAAAAGGAGGTAGTCACTTATCTAAAGATGAACTAAACTATTATCAAAGTCATTAATTAGGAGCCATCCCCTATGACAAGTAATTAGCTACTATTCCACTCCCCAAATTCCAGTTAGACCTATTGAGCCAAGTTCATTAGTTAAAGGACTGCCTCTAATTACACGAGGGACACTTCACACTTTCCACTACATAAACTTTGCGAAGAAAGCAATCTTCAGGTACACTTCATTTTGTTACCAAGAGTATTTCCCTTTCCTACAATTTTTTCTTAGGCTGGTGAGTTCCACCTCGGCACCAATGGAAGAAGACTGTGAAATGTAAACCACCGTCTCTTTTCTGGACTGTAACCTTGAACTGATGGGTATTATTTTTCTCTTCCAACGAGGCATTTATAAAAACCTAAATCAATAATAATCAAATGTTATTTTAGACTATACCTCTGTTTTGTTCCCTAGGAAAGAATCTCTGTGAACTAGGATCATTTGTTTTTGTGGGCATTTATCACCCTTCCTTCAGATACTTTTGTACATATTAATAGTTTATTTTGTGCCCTTCTGGATGAATCAGGGTCTTTGTGCGATGTGCCAACACTCTCTGTAGAATGGAAAAGGAGTCTGAGATGTTATGTGGTCAAGTATTCTTTTGTTTGTATTTTTTCCATTAGTTGTAGAGATGCATATCATTTGTGTTACAAGTCACTCCTTAAATGATGAAAATAACTGATACTCCTATGTAAAAAATCATAAATAAATACTTTTTCCACACTGTCATGTACTTTTCATTTCTTTTATATGCCAGTGATACACAGTACACACAAAATGTCATAATTCATAAAACTTGAAGAATAAAGAAGCTAAATCAGAATTTCACCAAATTCAGATTGAGACTGAGCATTCTGACTGAACCTTAAAAACCTATCTGTTTTTACTATAACAGTCCCTTCCCAATGAAGAAAATTATTTACAAATTCAAAATGAAAACTAATATAATCATGGGCCAAGACTGTGAGCCAAAAAGTATTAGAAACACAACTCAGAATGCTGTGAGAGTGTTTAAGGACAAATCAAACAATTGGTTAAATTCAGTACCAGACAAATCGCCAACATGTGGCAGTGAAAGAGCAAGGGATGAACCAAATTCTGTCCCTCATCAATTTCAATTCTTAGTATGTAAAAGAAGCTGGCACTGTCCCTTGCAAGAGTCTCTAATAGGGCTCTTGCTTAAACTTACACCAAAAAACTAAGTCATTCCGAGTTTTAGGAGCTTCATCAAGCAGTTGCCTGGAAGTGCCAACTAGTTTCTGCACTTTTTTATTATCTTGTGCATCTATGTAATTATAAATCACAAACAAACTAATTCTTTGTGAGCAGAAATAGAGCCAAGGAGTAACATAAAAAAATATAATCATAAACAATTTTACTAAAAATTATGTACAAACCAAATATTCACATCATGATATACACATACGAGGGAAATTCACACGTTGCTCAATCCACTTCGCAACAGAGAGTAAAGCTGCGTCTTTGTTTGTAGGTGCCATAAGCTGGAGAGAAAGAGGTAGGCCTTCTCCATTCAGTGACACAGGTACAGTCACAGCAGGCACTCCAGCCATATTCGATGCCTGAGTGCAGATGTCTTGTGTGGCAGTCTGGGTGCGGTTGTCAATCTGACAGAATTCGGAATACCTGTTGGTGTATTATCAGGCCAATGAGAAATCCAAATTCATACAAAACTGTTCTTTGACTCTACTAATTTGAGTTCTAAAATCAGTATTCAGATAATATGAAGAAAATAATTACTGTACTATTCAGTTACTATCAAGGACAAGTGATATTTATTATGTTGATTAACCTCATGGCAGCAGACAGTGTTACTGGTGTCAGAAGGAAATCAACTCCAGAGTTCCAAACATTCTCGAAGTCTTGCAATATCAGTCGTCGAACCTGTGAAAAGAAAAGAGTAATTTCTAGTCACTAATATAAAATACTTAGAATGGAAAAGATATACCATTTACACCCATGAATAACAGAATAATGAATCACATATAGACTCAAAAAACAATTTTTAAAAATCAACATATGTAAACTACAAAGAGGATTAACATCATGAAAAATGAAATACTTCTATGGGATATTTAGACAAAAACAAAATTATTACTTTTAGTGCCTGCTTGTAGTATTTTTCTTTATTTTCTCTGAGAAGGAAATAATTCCCTGCCAAGATCCGTCCCCTCACTACATCATTGAGCCCAGCAGACCTTGTGAGCGCATACATCGCTTCCATGGAGTGGGAGGCATCGACGCGGTGTCCATATTCTACCCCAGTGTATCTTGTGAAGTTAGATGCTACTTCACACGGATTCAAGACAGAGTAGCAGAGTATGGAATATTTGGTGTGGGGCATCGATACCTGTCTCAACTGTAGGGGAGCAATTGGAACAAAATCAGATCCTTTAATCAATACAGCACAACCTCATTATATTAATCTATTGCTCCTAGTGAATCACACTGGCTGCTGTAGTCTTCTTCTGTGAGTTTTGTTTGCACATAGATGGCTCCACAAGTACTCTGCCATCAAAGAACCAATTAGTAGGCATACGTGACCTCATGTGATTTCCTCTTTGTGCAAGTTTTCACTACTGGCAATATGGTCATTATAATCATATTGACAATACTAATAGTAAAGATTTTTTTTTTAAAGGATCTTTCCAAAAATCTGGGAAAAGAATAAACAGGTCAGATATGTAAGACTAGTAACTGATTCACTGGTGATTAAGCATTTGCAGAGCCATCTATGGGTAAAGAAAAATGATAAACAAAAACAGACTGTGAGCATAGCATGTATTCTTGGCATCCCAGCATCAGTTGGTACTGTAATGAAATATAATACTTTTTGTTCTACACGCAACATAAAATTGTCAGCTTTGTTCCTGCCAATTTAATAAGATCAGTGAATATTGTGCTCAAGACAAGGCTGGTGTAAAATGCAATTTGACTCAATAGAGAGTATTGTTTTCATTAGCTATTAGATTATGTAACAAGTAATTCATAATAATTTACAGTGACCTCTTCTGTGGTTTATTCGCTTATCCAAAAATCATGAAAGGAAAAAATGACTGATAATTTCTGGAAATTACTGGTTCATATCAGGGAAGGAGGCAAATCTTATCATCATTAAACCGCAATCCTTGAGTGGCTATTATATACTAAACCATTTGTTAACTTGCTGTCAAAAAATGTATTTTAACATGAGTCACAATTTCAAAGTTGTGCTAAGAAGATGTTAATTCTCATTAAAACTGACAACACTATATACATGGTCTTTTCATATATTCATTTGCTCATTTCATCCATCAAATAATGGTTAGGGCAATTTCTCCTCTTCCCTTGAAAAAAAAAAATTCTGTTAGAATAAAAACATAAAATCAAGAAAATTTACAGCAGAACGAGACAGACAATCATTTAAACCTTCACAACATACCTCAGCACCAGAGTCCTCCATGATGTCGGCTACTTTTGTCCACATGTCCACAACCTCAGAGCTAACACCAGGGCAATGGTATTCTCTTGGAATGCCGACGACCAGGCCATCAAGACAAGGCTCCTCAGGCAGTTTTAAGTTCGACAGATCACTGGAGACACTGGTTGAATCCTAGGACATGAAAATTTGCTCTTCAACTAAGAATAACTCTGCACAGTGAATATATTTTCAGAATGTACTCTTAACAATGAATTCATTGATCTATAAATATTTAAGGCTGAACATTCACTCACTGAAACAAAAAATCATAACTATAATTCACGCAAAAGACACAAAATGCCACTGGCCAAATCTATAGTTCATAAACATTATTTCCTCTTCAAATGAGCTACATTTAAAACTGCCATGATCTCCCATTATACCAAACAAATATTTAAAAACTGACAATGAATTCAAAGGGCATGATCCTTCTACTATCACAAATCCACAGCTAAACCACTCCATTCCTTCCTACATTTTTCATGCATCCATACCTGAGAATCCTGGCCTGCTACAACACCCAGCATGGTGGCAACGTCATCAACATAACGACCAAACAAACCAGGCACATCCATGGAATTAACAAGGCTGATGAGGCCCGCACGGGGAACCACTCCATACGAAGGCTTGAAACCAACAACGCCGCAGTAAGAGGCAGGGTTACGAACAGACCCACCTGTGTCTGAACCAAGAGCTCTGTAAAAAAATGATCGTATTTATTCTCTGCATACAGGAAACTCCATTTTAATACAGTCATTAATAGTGTGTCAGTTCATTCTGCATGCATATGTATATGTAAATAAACACACATTTTTGTATATATGCATATATATATAAAAATATATTTGTATGCATATATATGCAAAATGATGTATATATATGTATGTATGTACATATAATATTGTGTATGTATATGCAATATACATATATATGAATGAGTGAGCTACACATATACATATATGCATCATCTGAATGCTACTGCCACAGCACTGCCACCTGAGCTGCCTCCTGCAATGAACCAGTCTCCATCTAGCCCTTCGGTGGGAACATTTGATGCATCTTCCTTCAATCTGTTGAAAAGACCATTACTATTACTGTTAATGTGAAGAAAGGTAAGCCACCTTTATGAGGAAAATAGTTCTTGAAAATAGACACGGAAAACATTTGCATTTTTTTTCTCCTCAATATGATCATATGCCAAAATAACACTTTCTATACATACACATAAAATGTTCTTTTATAAGAATGTTATCATTTTAATTTCCTGTACCACCACAAAGGTTTAAATATCAGGTAACAGCAAAACAGATTACAAATCAACATCCTCACTTACTCTTGCTGATTCTGGAATTGGTATCTGATTCCTGAGCGATAGATATTTCTTGTAGGTCCAAAGGATGAGTCAACAGTGCCAGAGCCCATTGCAAACTCATCCAAATTTGTTTTGCCTATTATGACAGCACCTGCTCTCTCCAGTCTCTTTACCACAGTGGCAGAGTATGGAGGGACATAGTTCTGTAACATCTTTGAGCCGCATGTGGTTGGGATTCCAGCAGTGCAAAAGTTGTCCTTTACAGCCACTGGTAATCCTTCTAAAGGACCAGTATTGTCTTTTTTCTCGTACCTGGAAGTGTAACAATTTTCTATAAACCTTCTGTACTTCTAAAGTAATTGATCAAATTCACCTGTCCACTTCTATATAATGACAAGAAGATCTAGGATATCCGACACAAATCAAACTTAAATGCATAAAATTAAAAGGTTATTTACCTTAATCTCTTGTAATAACACAAAATGTAACTTGGGATTTATTTTTCTTGAGGTTATGAAACTTATTTTTTTGTTCTCTTGTGTATAACCTTGTCCCTAAATGTTACTTAAAGGAATATCCTAAGGGTAAAATATGGAATGGCCTTAGCATTCTTTACAGTTAAATATCTTTTTACAAGAAGATTGAGGTTTAAGAGACAATTATTATTCAATGATACAGTAATTCTTTCATACTCTTATATGTAGGTGAATGCAAATAGATCTATGGGTATATGTGCAAACTCTTAGAACCATACACTTCAACCTATTGAGATTTAGATGGAAGTAATCTTCAAAAGACCATAATCTATTGGAAATATGATTATATTTTAAGAGACAAAAAAGAGAATTGCTTTTGAATATTATGGTTTTTCTTGGCTTCAAAATCTAAATAAAATGAGAAAGCACACTAATAAATCTCTTTGACATCTTCAGATACAGTGCAATAAATCATCAAATTAATTTAACCAAGTTGTTTGAACTGTTCTAATAAATGATGATTCATGCAGTTCATGCCTCTATAGAGCTGGTACTCTTAGAACCATTTACAAAAAGTCAGTCATACCTTTTCTGTGACTCATCTGCTGCTTTCAAGGCTGTCTCTGATGTTCTTGATATAAAAGCATTTAATCTGGCCACGTTTTCTTGCTGTCGTAGAGCTGCCTCCACAAGCTCCACTGCAGAAACAGACCCTTGTCGAAGGCATCCCAAGACATCTTTGGCACTTCCCAGAAGATGATTCATTGGTGACCTAAAATAATCAGTAGAGTGTAGAAGATATAAACACAATCTGCATACACCCTTGTAGTTATTGACTACCATTTCTGGCATGATATGATTGAAATATATATCATCTCCCCTGCAGAAACTGGTTATGGTTACATATAAAACAACAATGGTTTTTTTATTGAAATAATGATAATGACAACAATAATAATAGCAATGAAAACAACAACAACAATCATCATCATCAATCATTATCATCAATCATTATCCTTACCATTATCATTATCATTAATCATTATCATCATCATCATTATAACAATAATAATAACAGTAATAACAACTTACTCCTCTAAATCAACATATTATTCATACATCTCTACCATACTCCCCACCCAGCCACATGGAAAAGCACATTTATTATCATTAAGAATTATAATTTCTATAAGGGCAGTGGTCCTAATATAAGAACTAAGATATAGCAGTACTCAGTCACGCAG